AAGATACATTTAAGAATACATGTATATATTGACGAGCTGCTGCTGCAAACTGATGTGACTGATACTGCCGGTGCAAGTTTTTTTATTTAGCATAGGCCTGCTACGGACAGAAGAGGCCACTGCACAAGGTAAGACGCACTCGGAAGCCATGGGAGATATTTTGACAATGTTACATAATACAAGAACCCCCGGACTACTTTATCCTCCTATGGCCTCTGGAAGAGCATACCCCACACGTTTGCCATTTCACTAAGACAACGTTTAATTTTTGGTTCCATAAAAAGATTAAAATGTTTAAAAAACTGTATGAATGCTTGCTGTAATATCTGATAGAGGGGTTGGTGTATAAAGGTAATTTGATAGCCAATGTTTGCCTCTAATTTAAGTCATTTAGTTTAATTACGTGTATGCTTCACTACATAGAGCTATGTTAAAACTCTGCTGGTTAATTAAAGGTTTGCATTTGTATATTCTTGTAATATAATCTGTATTGAGTGGTTTGAAGTCTATGGTAAAGTATTTACTTGAGTTACTACCGTATTTGAATACACTGCCTGATATATTCTCACACAGGTACTTTTAAAAGCTATTTTAATGTGTGTTTTCCTTCAACGAGTGACCTCAGGACAATACCAAATACATAATTCAATAAGCAGCTTTCTGTAAATACTAGCTTTCCAGGGGCTTTCTCTTGGATCTCCTCAGCTAAACAACCCTTGCCAGCATGCATTAATACCAATTATTGTTGTAGTAAAAGTAATACTTTGTCGGTCTCCTGCCAAATGCGTTACAGAGAGCTCCATTAATGCAATGGTAAACAGATGTGCCACCCAGCGCCAAAGTTTGATTTGGACCATATATGTTTTCTCCAGGGAGATTACAAAATAAAATGTGAAAACGCATAAAAGGAAAAGGCCTGCAGGGTTTTTACACAACGTTATGCAGAGGTATGTGAAGTGCTCCAGATACTATAGACGCAGATTTTAAGTATGCCCCCCAAAGACTGAATTATTATAAGGATTACTGAAAAAGGCTGCTATGAAGTCAATTGAGGGTCAAATACCAAAATACCACATAATGACCCACAAGTCAAGTTCTTGCTATGAGCTGTTTACAGTACCTCACCTACACACTATACACTGCATAAACTGTACTATGCATGCACCACAGCATATCACTGTACTATGAAACTACTGTGTGTAAAAGAACTGCTTTCCCCTCTTAAAGCAATAAACTATAATCTAAATGTTACTTTTCTGCAGTGAACTGTGTCTTATTTTGTTTTCCCATCCTGTACTGCTGCTCCCCAGAGAGACATCAGCAGGATTTATATGTGTTCATAACCTAGCATAAGTCGAGCTCTTCCTGTCGAGTACAAAGCAATTTGCTCAAACTGTTAAAGGTACAGTCCTGTATTTTGTTTGCCGGCAAAATATCGCATTGAGAAACAACACAAATGTCACAGTTATGTTTCTTTAATAATCTTTACAATGGGAGAAAGCTAATTCAACATGTTTATGTATTTATGCACGTGAATGAAATAAATAGCAAAAAAAAAAAAAAAGAACAACAACCAACCAAAATATGCAAAAATAAAATAGAGTTGTCCCATTGAGTTTGGCAACTTTGCACCATAGGGTTAGAACAATTGAAGGAGTGGGTGTGAAACTGCCATGGCTGAGGAGTCTTGGTTGTAGTGGAAGTCTTGGTTGAGAATGACACACACACACACACACACACACAGCGAGAAAAGCAAAGGAACAAAGAAGGAGACTGCATACATCCTGACTGAGAGGATGCCGACATAAATACAGACCCAACTGCAACACTTCACCTGAACTATGTGTCACGATAGTTTCACGTTGCCTTAACCAAAACATAATTCACACGTCACAGTTTAAAACTGCTCGCAGAAGCCTGAATCTGCAAAGCTGCACCACCACTGCAAAGTGTCAGAGTGCCTGACTCAGAGTTAAACACAGACTGTACATGGCAAAAATACTGTAACTCCTGCTTTGAGTGAGCTGCACATTTGCTGGGATAAGTAATAAGTTGTCACAGAACTTTTAAACTCTGACCTTAAGGTGTAACTTGATGCCTGGCTGAACAGCAGTATGCCATTGCTTAATTGCACCTACAATCACATCTATCAGTGATGTCAAGGTGCACTGACACACCCTGGAGTACACCTCTACATCACTGCAGCAAGGCAGGGGTTAAAGGGATAGTTTGGGTTTTCTCAAGTGAGGCTGTATGGGGTCAATAGTCAGTGTATTACATGCAGTAGATGTCTGTAGGAGTGGCCCCAGATTGGAAAAGCATTAGGAGAGATGACACGGAAGCTGGACAATGTACTGCTGTGGAGGGGGCAGCAACAAAACATATTTTAGCCACTTAAAGATGTCCCACCTAAAAAAAAGTATACGCTATACCACCAAACCCCATTGACAAAAACAGTCATTTTGGCTTGTTGTATACAGCAGCTGCTGGTTTACCGCTGCCTCATTCGGTTGGTTAGTTTGTGCTATTTTGTGACTCTGAACTAATCCTTTTAAATGCCAAAGTCACACAATAACACTAACAATATACATTTTTGAAGCAGTGGTAGACCAGCAGCTCCTGTGTTTAGGAATGCTAAATCACTGTTTTTCTCAATGGAGTCTGGCTTTGAAGAGAGCACAGATGACGGCTTCAGTTCCTCGTCGGAAATTGTTGTTTGACAATAAGATAAAGCATTGAAAACTTTCTAAATAGGTGGCTTTAGGTGGCTAAAATAGATTTTATAACTGACCCACCCACAGCAGTACATTGCTTAGCTTCCGTGCCGACTGACATCTACTGTACTGTATGTGACACACTGAGTACCTCAAACAACCTCACTTCAAAAGCTCTGAACTGTCCCTTTAAACACCAAAGGTCAGAAAAAACAAGATTTTCAGCAGGTGTTTAGTTGCTCTTTAAGGCTATAACAAGTAAGAGCAATAGGAGCAGCTTTGTTGGACCTTATTATTGAGATAAAATCTGCTCTGCACGCTTTATTCTGGCTGACTAGCCCGGGAGATTCAGACGTATATAATGTTGTGATGCAGTAAACTGCCAAGTATTAATAGTTTCAACCTGCTTGCTTATTCCAGTGGCATGATGTTTCAAGTTCACACTGGAAACAAAGCCGGCTGTAGATTCTGAGAATGTATGTGACTCAGTACAACAGGGCCAAAGCCACTTATACGGGATTGTTACCCATAAGCCTTTATGGTTGCCCTCGGAGTGTTGATATCACTTATCAGGACACATGGCTGCAGACACTGACGGAAGTGGCCCATCATCTTTGCATTGGTAGTGTTCAGGTGACGTGTGTATAATGACAAATAATTCAAGTAAAGTGTTGCATCAATGTAGACTGGAACAAAACATTAAAGCTGCAACAATTAATAATCTACTGTAAACAAATAAATAATTTTCATTTGAAAAAAAAAAAAAAAAAAAAAAATCCTTCAGAAATACAAAAACTGGCCAAAGGTATAAAGAGACACAGCAACAAATGACTCGAACTTTATAAGGCGGAGGTATCTGTGTGCTTTAGTTTGCTTTATGGACAACGATGAAAGCTGAAAAGAGAGCGGCTCGGTGAAAACCCCGATTTACTGCACAGACAGTTTTGTGTTCAGTAAGCTGCGCTGATGCTGCTTACCACTGACAGAATAAATAAATTCATTCTAAGCCTGGAAATATGATAAAACTCTTAATCTTCATGATACCGACAATGCACCATTATATAATGTTAAATTCAATAGCACCTTATCATAAAGAATATTAACATGACTATGAATTGCATTTTAAAGTTGCTGTTTTTGTTCATGCACTCATCCCAAGTGCCCCCCCCAACAACCATTTTTGTGACATTTGACAAAAACAACTGTTGTGCCCGATGGCTTGATTGTATATTAAGTAAGAACCAGGTGTAGGAAAATGAATGAATGAATGGTAATTACAGTGTAGTTAAAAGCATTTACGCCTGTTTTCCTATGTGATACAGACTACATCATATACTGTTAAATATACTGTTGAAACTTAAAATAACAGTTAATATCTTAAGATATTGCAATTCTGCATTTTAAGGCACTTACTTTTAACGTAGTTTTTGGGATATTATTTTTTCAGATGTATTTGCATCTTTTGTTTGATAGTTTTATTTACTTCTGTGATCATTTAAAATAGTTTACCCTGACAGAGATGAAGCCATTCTAAATTGCAATTCAACTTAAGTAAAAAAGACATTATCAAAAATACAAATGAAACATGTTTTGAAAATATTTTCCTCTGTACAAACTGTATGTACTCATCGAGAGATACCAGAGGTCTGACCAAGAGCACCAGCAAAAATATTAAATAGAATATTCAGTAACCAAAACTAGCTACTCGAAAAATAAAATCATACTGTACAAAGATACACATACAAAATGCACTGACAGTCATTTGTTGCTGTTCAATAAAGGTCATAATATTAACTCTTATACACAAATATACACTTGTGTACTTGGGATACAGGGTGAAGACAGCAATAACAACACAGAACATTTACTTCACGCCTCATATATGAAATAAATATGTTCTAGAGTTACGCTTCTACAAATATATGGCATTGCTGGACAACACTGTCCTGATTTATGGGTCTTAATTTGGAGCCTTAGCTCGAAATGGGATCCATGTGTTTTTAATGATCCCTTAAGTGGAGCAGCATTGTGTTTTTGTGTATTTTTTTTTCTTGATTCTAATCAGCACCATGCCACTGCAGGGCCCATCTGGGTGGGCTGAAGCTGAGCTAGCCCACAGTGGCGCTAGATACCCAGCGCTTACTCCGGGATCTCCTACAGTGTGAGGCTAAAGACACACTCAGTGCACACGTCTGAAGTCATTGTAGCACACGATATCTACTCACAGTGAAGCGCCCTCAGTGAGGAAGATAAGTGTTGGAGGAAAACGAGTTAGTACTATCGTACCGGCTTCCATGGTCGGCGGTGCCAGGAGGCAGAGCCTGGGCAGGGCTGCAGGTTGCATTGCTCCATGTCGGGCGGCTTGTCGAGGATGTCACAGTTGTAGTCGTTGAGCCTCTGGCCGTTGGGCCTTTGACAAACCACCAGGCGGGTCCTCCTTCCTCCACCGCAGGTCTGGGTGCACTGAGGATAGCAAACAAAACATTCTGTTTAATGATGTTATAGTTTCAGCAATGACTTTATAACAGTTGTTTCAGACTGAGGTTGGACGAATGCCTGTCTTTGGTACAACAAGTGATAAGACAGAGACAGACGGACAGACAGAGAAGACATAACAGACGATAAAACACAAAAACATGTATGGGAAATGTAACAAGGTTCACAATGAGTGAGTGGAAGAGTATGACAGAGTATTTCCAACTCTAAATATAACCTCACCTCTCCCCAGACGCCGTAGTTCCACAAAGGACAGGGTCCAGAGTCGCAGCCCTTAGACTCGGCAGGTTTAACCCTCTCATCACAGTAGCTGTTGCTGCGTCCATCGGCATCCTGACAGACCACCACTCGCCTCTGGAAGCCTCCTGCACAGGTACTGGAGCACTGCAGGGCACAAAGAGTGTCAATGAGGCTATGATACATGCACACACAAAGGTACAACAGATGCTTTGTGCATAAAAGGCCTAGTATGAGTAATTAAACACGACTTCTTAGTAAGATGATTGGGATGATTGGGATGGCTGGAATGGACGAAACTCAACTTCCATTCATTCATTATTCGTACTACTTATCCCAAGTGACATCACAGGGCTGACACATAGAGATAGACAACCATTCACACTCATATTCACACCTACGGCCAATTTAGTGTCACCAGTTACCCTAACCTGCTTGTCTTTGGACTGTAGGAGGAAGCTGGCAAACACAGGGAGAACATGCACACTCCGGCACAGAAGGAGCCGGCCGTCAAGCCTCTTGTTGTGAAGCGACAGTGCTAACCACTGCATCACCGTGCCGCCCATTCAAGCCTCAGTTAATAATTTTTTTCTGACACTAATTACTTTATCCCACAGTTTTCGATGCTCAAGTTTTCAGCCAACATGCATGTCTGGTCCTTAAATTCAGGTCCTGACTTTTAAAAAAAATTGTTGGGAAACAATCTATTCCAGATACATGAAAACTTTTTATCATGTCATTAAGTTCTACTTGATGAAGAAGGCTGTGTGATATGATGGAAAGCTCCAGCAAATGCCAGTAGTCTATCATCTAGCATATTACAGCATGGTGAAGGATTTTACAGATTCTGCTGAAAGATATAAGGTAAGAAATAAGTGTTTACAAACCAGAAAAGGGTGCACAAATATAAACACAAACACATATGCGACACACAACCTGCTGAATTTACTTGAGCAGAGCTACACTGTTCAAAAAGACCCTCCAAACATGGAAAACATCAGTCCATGACGGACAGTCTCGAACACTGGACAACACAGCCTTCAACAGAGCAGTAGGTGCACTCTGCATCCAATTAAAATGACACATCCCCACTGTCAGTGGGAGTGAGCACATTCAGTGCTCTCTATATGTGAAGGAGGACAGTACACAGTGAGACTCAACAGCAGTGCTTCCAGTCAACTTCATTATGTGAGACTGAACAGGGCAGTGGGATGAATGCCTCTGCTGGGGGGAGGGAAAGGTTGGTGTCAGGAGAATATAACAAAGTTCCTGTCTTGGCTTTAAAGATAAAACCCAACTAAACATCTATGGCTTTCACACACACATAAACTAGATCTCAAAAGTCAGTTTCACAGTAGAATAATCAGGTCTTTGGCCAACATTAGCTGCAAAATGTTGTCAATTATCCTCCAGCATGGAGCAGATTTTGTCTTGAAAGCTGGGCTCTGTTTAAATGAAAACTTAAACGAAACTGAGCACACACAAACAAATATGAAAACATGAGCACAATCTCAGCGTGAAAAACCACGTACCATACAACAGCAACAGATTTAATCAACCAAAAACTGAAGGCCCTCAGGCATCCTGGAGGTGATTGTAGGTGACATTAAAAGCAAGAATCACCCATTACACCTCCATCATGTGAGGCAAAAATTGCTCTTTGCTCTATTTGCTCTAGTGTTCGGATAAGGTCTGTTCTGGGTACACAAGAGCAATTTCATGGCAAAACATATGCCAAAAAAGGCACCATGCAAGCGAAACTATACACAGGAGCCCCTGTTCCAACTGCACCAATGCACCTAATTTGGCACAAGCAGATTCCTTGCAGATGTGAAAATACCAGACACGGTTAAACACAAAAAAAAGACCTTGAGCCTGACAAAAAAAAGGCATTGTGCCTGCTTTTTTGACAATTTGATTCAAGGCCAAAGACATTAAGAGAATCTGGAACTGCCCCAAACCATTTGAGTGTGTTCCTGCCCAAACAATTTCAGACTAAGTATCAAAGCTCTACCTTGCAGTAATTTAGAATATTTCTTGGTTACACAGCTGTATAGAGTCCTAAGTGTCTATACGTACACTGACACACCATATACATATACATATACACTCTGCAGTCCTTAGCATTACATCCTATCCTTTGGTGCTGTTTGTAAAGTTCTTGACCATGTATGGCCCTCTGCCCTGAGAAATGAAAACATCTGCTACCTGCAAGTGTGTTCACAAGAGTGTGTTTACAGACACACATGAACACAGTCTTCCTGCATACATGGTATACATACTATGTATCATGTTGGCCATACATAAAAACATCTAATTCTTCATTGGCTTTCTAAAGAAAGTCATGTTAGGTGTGCTAACAGGGAATCAGGCTCAATAAGAAGATCTTAACTGACAGTTAAGGATGCAATGTCCAACTAGGATTTCTACAACGCAAAATACTTCTGCACATCCATATTTCCCCAAAGATCACATGCTGAACATACTGCGCCCCAGGGTCCGGTCCTCCACTGGTTGTCTGCTGAGGGCACATTCCAGCTGCTGTGCCCAGGATGGCGCCCTGGGTCCTGAGGATATCCGTAGGGCTGGTCGTTGATGCGCTGACGGTGGTAGATGGAGGAGCAGGGTACAGCGGTGCATTCCTGTTCTGTCGCAGGTTTCTCATCCGGGTCACAGAAAGACTGATCCACTGGCTGGTGGTAGTTAGAGCACACCACCTGTCTGGTGGTTCTCCCAACGCCGCAGGTCACTGAACACTGGGGACGGGGGAGTGCAAGGTGTTTAAAACCGAGGTGAGGGTTCAGGACTTATTAAACTACTGATTTAACAAATAAACAGTAATTTAGTCTTCAAAACGAATTCCCATTTTCCTCTAATTCTGTCACAAATAAGATTTTTGTAGGAGATTTTCCAGGTTCTACATCAGCCCATGGTTTGGGGACTGTTGTTTTTATTGACTGCTGCTATTTATTGCTTCATGATGTGAAGCCTGATGAGTCTGTAACTGAATACAACGGAACTTGAACTCAACCTAATATGACATGAATTGAATAAAGTTGAGACTTTGTCTTTAGAGAAATTTCCTTTGGGATTTTATCTTTAGAAGGACTTCATCTCACATGAACACTTGATTAAAAGATCATGGCAGTATCTGTAGATCATCCTTGGCTCCTGAACTGCCAGTTAAACAAACACCGCTGGTCTTTCAGTGACATCATAACAGCTTTTGCTTTTTTGCCATGCTGACATTCACAAATTAATACTTGACTGTCGAAGATCACAGCAGAACCAAATGCGCACTTTGTTTCAGGGTCATTTTGACATTATGGGAAAAACAAACTGAGTGATGACTGAAAGTCTCCGCAGTGGAAAACATCTGTATTGATTGGACACAGTGTTGAAAGTTTTACTCACAGGAGACCACTCCCCGGCACGCCATTGGCCACACGGGCTGAAGCAGGCAGAGGACTCCGGGGGCCTGGGCAAGTGGGTGCAGTGCGACTCGTCAGCCACTCCTCCTTGGGCATCTCTGCAGCTCACATAACGCGCCCGCTTCCCCTTGCCGCAGGACACCGAGCACTGGAGGACAAGCAGATACAAGCAGAGTTGGGATAAATATTTGTCTTAAATGTTTGTATCATGTGGTTTTTAAAGTGATGCCATTAGCTGCATTTTACTTTCCTGACTCAAAATTACGGTAGAGGTAGAGTGCAACTGTTTAGAAAATGCACCACAAAATTGACTGGTTTTAAGTGACATGTAAGCTATGCCATACAAAGCAGCAGCCCACAATGGTAATGAGAGCATACTATATACTGTATACAATATATAGCATGTATCTATGGGTCTATAGTACCTGTAGTAAACATATAATTACCCAGATATTGTATAAAGTTACATTGGTAAGCTGCAATTATGTTCAATTTGAAGTTACCAGACAGCCTCTTGTTTCTTATAAAAGCATACAAAATGCATGTGAAAAAAAATCAGCATTCCTAATGATTTATTTCATCAGTTTCTGTAAAGGAAGAGGATTTCTGATCACTTTTTTAATGTTTAAAAAGTTTCTCCACCACAACGCAAATAAAAATTCAAATTCAAGAAAGTTGTTTTTCTTATTTTAAGATTAAATCTTCCTTTTCAATATTTTCTTTTTCATATTTCTACTTTAGCTAACAAATAGTTATACTTTTTTAAAGGGACAGGTCACCCCAAAATCCAAAGTACATTTTTACTCTTAACTGTAGTGCTGTTTAGCAATCTAGATTGTTTTGGTGTGAGTTGCAGAGTGTTGCAGATATCTGCTGTGGAGATGTCTGCCTTCAATGTGCTAGCAAGTTACTCTAGATCAGTGGTTTCCAACTGGTCCGGCCACGGGGCCCTGAGTACATAGTTTAATATCATTCATTCATTCATTTTCAGTAGCTGCTTATCCTGTTAGGGGTTGCTGGGGGCCGGAGCCTATCCCAGCTGACATTGGGTGAGAGGCGAGGTACACCCTGGACTGGTCACCAGACTATCACAGGGCTGACACATAGACACAGCCAACCATTCACACTCACATTCGCACCTATGGACAATTTAGAGTCACCTAACCTGCATGTCTTTGGATTGTGGGAGGAAGCCGGAGTACCTGAAGAAAACCCACACTGACACGGGAAGAACATGCAAACTCTGCACAGAAGGGCTTCCCCATCCTAGAGTTTGAACCCCCCACCCTGCTGTGAGGCAACAATGCTAACCACTGCACTACCGTGCCACCCACAGTTTAATATAATCAGCATCATACTTGCGTTTGGCCAAGTCGTCAAGCTAGTTTGCTGTCTCTGTCAAGTACCTGTCCATTCTCTCACTCATTCTACAGCAGAAAACGTTACTTCAAAATAAAAACTCTGTGCCAGAAATTCACTGTGCGTCAAAATAAAGTGTGATTTTTACAAACTTGACATGTTTGCGAGTCACTTGCGGACCATTCAGAATGGACGTGCAACCCACTTTTGGACCATGACCCACCAGTTGGGAACCGCTGCTCTACAGTATGAAATACTTTGCTTGTTTATAGAGATGGATGTTTTGCAGTTGAGTAATACTTCCTGTCATGTGCTCACCTTGTGAGAAATAACAGTCATTTCTCAGACTGTAACAGATAAGGCAACATTTTTGTGGATTTTTTTACCTGCTGTCACAAATAAAGGCATTTATGTTTTTTCTCTACAGTTGCTGGTGTCCTCAAACGACTCCCTGATCAACTTTCACCTGCTTACACTTTATATCTGTACCCGTGCCATCTCAGCAGGACATCGCAGTGAACATTTCTGAGGGGATGAATACCTAATGCAATCAAATGGCTCCAGCTCAAACAGGCATGTTAATATCCCTCTCATATCAATGACTCTCTGAAGAGGATGGCAGTTCCGCTGCCCGGGGGGGAATGTATGCATGTGTGCGTGCACACGTGGTGCGTGTGTATTACATGTGTGTGTCTGTAAGACCACACTGGCGCTGGCCTCTTTGACATGTGAGCTCACACCGACTTTCAGATTGACAGACGGGGTTCAATCTTAGAAACCGTAGACTCGTGTTTAGATGAAATCTGGTTTTCATTTGCAACGAGTAACAATGCAAACTATCAGGGAGACAGAGGGGCCTCTCAGCTCAGACAGTGGAGCCTGTGTGTATGTCCGTATATGTGTGTGAGTGTGTAAATGCAGCAGGGGGTAAAAGAGACAATGCCAAAGAGGATCACGGTCCTGTACATTATGTACTATATGAAGGAATGTTGGGGTATACAATAAAGTTTAATATGTCAACCTAATATTTGCAAACACACATGCAGGAGAACCGTCCTTACTGGAGTGTGGTTTTCTTCAGTTAAACACACACACACACACACACACACACACACACACACACGTATATAAACTATTTCATCAGTATTCTCATTTTTCATTCTTTGTCAAAGACAGAGGTAAGTCTGATTCCAGAGCCCAGCAGATCATTTCCCTTGAGCTACACACTTTGTTTACCATTCAACAACAACCGCATCGCTTTTGTATAATCTTTGGACTGACTAAAGTAAACCCACAGACTGTAATGTGCTCCAATAGACCCAATAAACCCAATTTGTTTCCTTACCGCAGTCCAGGAGCCGTATCTCCACTGAGTCAGGAGCTGAGCGGAGTTGTCAGGACGAGGTGTGCTTTGCACCGGAGAGGCCCAGGCACATGCTGGCATCTCACAGTCCTGCAAAAACAAACATGCATATGCAGTAAAATTAGTAATTACTGAGAGTTATAACTCACTACACTGAAGCTGTGAGAGTAAACATGCCAAAATATTTTCTAAAGGCATTTCAAAGACTCCCTTCGATCCAAAAATCCAGGTTAAGGATGTCTCCAGCTGTAAAAAAAACTTGACCAAAGCTTGTAGACCCAGCTTATAGGATGTCTGTCTATATCATTGTGACCTCAATTCCAACAGCTGAGACGGATCACTTATCTGGAGACTGAAAGGTCATCAGTTCAACACTCTGCCTCCATCAGTGTCTTATGCAATACCCTTAAACCACTCAGGTACAAGTGTGGTGCAGCCTTATGGTCTGTGTCCACCTTGACAGTGATTTGGACTTTGGGTCAAATCAAAGCAGAACAGGCCCACATTTAAAGAAGCTGCTGGTGTTAACGAGGGCCACATTTACACTAGTAGGGTTTTAATGATCTCCGTACATGAGTGTTAGTGCACCTTTTCAGAATCAATTTTCATCCATTTAACACAACTAAAAACACATAACACATGGCCATTCACATACACTAGGCATGCACATACTGGTGTAAACAGGAAGCAGACTGTCTACTCTGCAGTTTGTTGCATACAGCCAATACTACAGGGATGGCAGAAAGTACAAACTAAGGCGACATTTAAGAGCAGTACCGGCAGGGAGCAACATCCACAGACAGAGGAAGCAGCAGCAATGGGAAAGGAGTAAGCTAACCACACATAAAGGATGAAATCACAAGAGGCCTAGCTATAATGTTTTGGCTAAGTAAGCAAACGTGAATGTCTGTCATCGTTTCCAAATGTCTCTGTCTCCACCCTTCCAGACTAAAACGCAGCCCCGGAAGTTTTTAAACTAATATGGGGTCAGCAGTGTTTTCAAAGGTCTCTGTTTTAGGGGTTCAAAAATGCCAGAGTAAGGTAGCAATAGTTAAGAGTTTTAAAATTAAAACGTATTAGTGTGTATGTAGCCTAGGTCACAACTTTTGAAGTTTGTAGTGAAGGTCATGTGCCTAATTTAGGAGCATCATCAAAGAGTGAAGATCAAGGATACTCTGCATGTAATTGGATCTGCTTTTAACCAATCAACAGATGATTGACATGAGCTCTGTTTAGCTTACACACCAAAACAAAGGAATGCACTAGTTTGTTGAATCATGCTTGATTTTAAACCCTGCGTGTCTAGTTTAAGTCATTGCTCCAAAATAATGGGAGTTTAAGAGGCACTAAGTTGGCTCTGCTCGTCTTCCTCATCGTCCAAGCTTGAATTATTATATTAACAATGGATGAAATGACTGTGAAATGTGGAAGAGGTAGCTCATAGTGATGAACCCACTGAGAATTACTGTGCTAAGCTCCAAGCATTTCAACATCTCATTGTTTTGGTTTTCCAGCCCACAACTTAAACTAAAGCACATTATCCCCATTCTTGCCTCCCTACACTGGCTGCCTGTTAGCTACAGAATACAATGTAAGATTCTGATGTTAGTCTACAGAGTGTTAATTTTGTATAACGTGACTGTTGCTGTTACTGTCACAATGTGGCGACAGTACAAAAACAAGAAGGATACAGTTGTTGCTATAGGTGCAAAAATAACAGTAACGATATACGATAATTACTGTTATTATTATTTTACTGCTATTATCACTCAGTTGTTTGTGTTTCTCTCCTTCCTTTAGGTTTTGCTTTTCTGTGTGTGTGTAAGAGCATTTTGGATCAACTCTGTGTTTAAAGTGCTACATAAATAAAGTTGACCTGACTTGACACAACTTAGAGGAGAAGTCCAGTATTTTGCACTTTGAGCCCCATTTCTGGCTTGTTTATGATGAAATAGAGTGGTTAAGGCCAAAATAGTGACGATTGCTCATTTTCGGAGAATTTGGCTTTCCCCTGCCTGGCTTAACACTGCTGCCTATGGCCATGTATGAACCTATCCTAAAACCACCCTAAACGTTCGTTTTCAAAGCCATGAAACTCACCGGGTGGTCAGTGGTGTTCGTTGATGTTCTGACATAAAAATCGTAGCAAGCTGTAGTTTCCATCCGTGTTTTCGCTACTCATCTTGATTGCGGAACTATTTTTTTTTTTACCTGTGTGTAAACTTCCGCTTGAACGTTCGTTTGACCCTGAAGCGTTATACACTCACTTGATGGCGATAATGCTCCTTTACGTGGGTGTCACCAACCGGCAGGAACAGAGAAGCAGAAGAAGGTTGTCATTGTGTTCAAAGGCATTGTACTGCGAAGGTTGTTTATAAGCGAGTAATCCATTGTGCAGTTGTTTAAACTTATTACAAAACTTTATCGTTCGCTCTCGTTTTTCCTCCAGGAGCGCACACAGCACTGTCGAGCCGGCACTTTCGTTGGGCTAAAAGACTACAATGACTACAACCTTGTTGTAAACAACCCCCTCTCCGTTTGCGGTGGCGGATTACCACCAACAGACAATGAGGCTTCTATAGAAAACGAATGGATTACACAAATTGTCAAATAAATCATCACGGAAACCACAGTTTGCTATGATGTTTATGTCAGAACATCATCAAACACCACTGACCACTCGGTGAGTTTCATGGCTTTGAAAATGAATGTTTAGGGTGGTTCTAGGACAGATATACACATGGCCATAAGCAGCAGTGTTAAGCCAGGCAGGGGAAAGCCAAATTCTCCGAAAATGAGCAATCGTCACTATTTTGGTCTTAGTCGCTCTATTTCATCATAAACAACCCAGAAATGGTAGCCTGGTTCCAGACCATAGACCCCGCCCACTCAACTGAGTAGGCTTGCATCTCTGGTCTGGCATACTGCAATGAATTTGAGATTTATCTCGTCCAAACGATGGACGGACCAATGAACGCCGGGGGTGGGGGCGTGTCTAGCAATTAGCCAATCAGCGCCACACTGATGTCAAGCTGTACGCCGGTGGGTAACTGGTGAGGATAGCAACAATGGCGACCGCTACAGATCATACAGACCATATTAACGATGCTATCGAGGTATTTCGCCACTACTCGCGTTAATGGAGGACCAAATTAAGGAAGCTGCTAAACTGGATTTAACGGCAATGCAGCTGGGCGTGCACGACGATGGAGACATTTTAAACGGGCAATGCTCACTTGTTTTCGGCACCCCCGAGGCATGGATACTAATGACGTCAGATTGTGGGTGAGTCGTTGATCTCTACTGATTGGTTAGGGAAAAAATCAAATTCCCTCCCCCTTGTAAATTGCCCTCAATGGAGGCAATGTCAGACTGAAGGTTCTGGGAGCTTCAGTCTGACACTCAGGCTACAGAAATGGGGCTCAAAGTGCAAAATACTGGACTTCTCCTTTAACTGTTTGGTTCAGTCCTTCGGCTCTCACCTGTCACAGCCAGCAGTTGTTTTTGCTGAAAAAGTCCTGATAAACCTTTTGTATGCTAACAGAACAGACCGACAAAGTCTGTAACTAGCTAGTGAGGACAGCTGAGTACTTTGTGGGGGTGCAGCTTCTGTGCTGCATATTTCCCTCAGGAGTTACTGGAGGTCAAAAACAGAGCCAAACTGAAAATGAATATTTAACTGACAGCCGTTATATTAGCATTCATTTGTAGTTGTGGTCAGAGACATGACTCCAAATAAATGCTACTGTTGCTCTGTGTCGGCTGGATGTTTGAAAGAAAATGGCTGAAGTGATAACAGGCCAATGTTGTGTTTACCCTGTGTTAACAACTGCCCTCAGAGTGGCCAAAAAATCACTTAGTGCTGCTTTAAGTTGGCTTAGCAGTGATACTACCTTGTCTGATTGATTTAAAGGTTAAAATAACCCAGGCAGCCTTCACTCAGTAGTTCTTTTAAGTTGGCAGAAGCACATTTTGAAGTGTCAGTAAGGGTGCATTTTATTGTAGACTGCAACTTTAAGTCTTATTTGAAACATTAACTGTGAATATACTCTTTAACATCAGGGCGGTGAATTTTCCCGAAAACTAAACATAATGAGCCTCATGTCTTGTTTGTGTCCTGACCTCAGATGATGCATATGACATCTGAATTTAATCTTGTGTGCAGCATTAATCCTGTTAATCTTTTATGACTTGCATCTTATTTACCTTAAGAGCAAATCAGACTCTGAGACAAATACGGGTGAACCTTGAATTGAATGTTGTTTTTTACCTGGCTGTCTCTGGGCCTCGCCGCAGCATTGCACTCTCTGTCATCTACCGTGTCACCATAGTTCCCCGACACGCACCTAACAGCTCTCATCTGGTAGCCGTGGCCACAGGTCACCGCACACTGAAAGACAAAATCACACACAATCATACACACATAAACACAGGAAAGGAGAAGCCCGGTCGACCGCAAAGCTATCTCAAACTCTATTGAAGTATGTCAAGGTTGATATCTTATACGGGGCCTCAGTCACGACTCAGCAGAGCCTGGGTAAGACTCTGACATGCATGCATACGCACACACACATATGGACACATGCGTCCACATACACACCCACAGTCTAAACTCGACCCTCTACCCAATTCTTACCTTACATACGAGGTGATCCGATCGTGGTCAGGTACAACGTGAGAGCAGAGGAAGTGCCACAGGATCGGTTTATTTAAGCAGCAAATTATGATTACACAGGCATTAACGAGCCGATATATTCCAGCTCTGTAAATACCACTATCTGACTTCATACAAACACGTGTGGGAGGGCATTAGATCCAAATGTATAAACCAGACTATGAATGGCCAAAGACGTCTATTCATACATGTTTCATTCAATTTGTGCTTTACCATTAACAGGCCTAAACCTACACAGAAACACTTGGAAACTTAGAAATCTGAATGTAAGTGTGTGTGTGTGTGTGTGTGTGTGTGTGTGTGTGTGTGTGTGTGTGTTTGCGCACCCTGGGTCAGGTTTAGTCTGACAGGATATGAGGGCAAAGTGAAAGCACCATGGAGGAAATGGCAGCTGGAGTCAGAGCACACTCCTTCGTAACTTGCCGGTATATCGGGTTGCACTCACACACACATAACTTGAAATATACACCAACGCCGCTACACACCACATTCTCTCTCTGTGACCACACACACACACACACACACACACACACACACACACACACACACACATGTGCACACACAGAGTAACAGATACGAGTCAAACACCTAGACAGCAAGCCACATGTGAAACCCATTTCCTCGGTCAAACACCGCATCAAGTCACCTCGTCCCTGTGTGTCTATGTCTCATCTGTGTGTGTGTGTGTTTCTGCAGGACTCACCGCTCCCCAGACGCCAACCTGCCAGGACGCACACTCGGGCAGCTCGCAGCTCCCTACAGCAGGAGGTTTGCTGGATGGGTCGCAGAAGTGCTCGCTCAGCTTTTCCTCCCCGGGTCCCATGCTGCAGGACACTTGTCTGTGCCTCATCCCCTTCCCACAAGTCACCAGGCACTGGGTGGGGAAGGTGGGTGTGGTAGGGTGGGGGATGATGGTGGAAAAGGAGGAGAAGGAGTAATTAATATGACAGAATGTGTTTTGGACGTTCAAAATTTAATTCATTTTCTCGATACAAAATAGTTGACAGCACACATTTCTATGCTAATTTCTGCCACTGGAGGAGGAACACACATGCAAGGCTGCTACGTCGGGCCGGACTGGATGTGGCTGGTAATCTAGTAATTGCATTTTATTTTATGGCAATCTGGTGCATCCCCTGTATTATAATTTACTCCCCTGACCTTACTGTTAAACCCGAGTAGTGCTGAGCTGTGCTGAAGGCTGCCTTTTTCGCCGTAGGTGTGTAAAAGATATTAGATTTATCCTTTGCAGTCCGCCTCTAGAGATTAATAAAGGTGTATTTATAATATAATAAAGGTTCCCACCTCACTCCACTCGCTAACAGTCCACTTCGGACACGGCTGCTCGTTGCAGCCTTCAGTGACCACCCTCTGGTATTCGTTGCAGTCCCGGTCCACCAGCCGTCTACCCAGGTTGTTCATACAGTAAGACTCTCTGCTGCGGCTCCCGCGTCCACAGGTCTTAGAGCACTGTTTGCAAGAATACAGTCAACATGTTCAGCTAATTTAATCACATATTCCAATCCAGTGATGCATAATGAAATGATTTTTACAATAAAGAAAATCAAAAACAGTCTTCATATTGACTGGTCTCTGTCCAAAAATGATGAGCAACACATATTGTATATTAGGGGTGGGAAAAACAAATCGATTCACTTAAGTATCTTTTTTAACATCAATTTTTTATCCCTGAATCGGAGGTAGAAAGAAGCTGTCACTTTCATTGTGGTAATCTCAATTCAAGAAAAATAAGGCCAAAGCGAGGAGGTAGAAAATGGCAGATGGCCCTGCTCGAATAGCATCACGAATCCCCGCCTGATTAGCAAACTGCCTGTTGCTGCCGTTACCAGATTAGACCCAGCCTGCTCTGAACCCTGGTGCACAGCCGCTACTAAGTCCGTCTCCAAAGCTCCTTCTCACTAGCTTGCCCATACTTTTCTCATTTGTGGTCTGATAACACAAACACAGAGAGCTGGGCGAATCCATGCACTGCACACAGCTCTACAATGGAACAAGATCTTACATATTTTAAATACTTGAAAAAAAAAAAAAAGGAAAATTATTAAGTGGCTGTCAATATTGTGGCAGCCACCACAAATAAATCAATGTATGGGAAAAACTACAAGAGGTGGTTGATTGAGTTTACTGTACATGTAGGTAGGGCGGTACCCAAATATTCAGATATTCGAATATTTGTTTCTATGGGTAGGTATTCGTTATGAAAATTTGGTATTTGATATTCTTTTTTTTTTCGTCCGTCTGAGGCTGTGGATCAATGCCAAGTTTTACCACTTGATCACTATTCCCTCTAACTTGTAGCTGTTTTTTCGTTATCTTTTGAATTTAATATGAATTATGGAACTGTTTTTGTCAACGTTTGTTTCCCTCATTTTGTACAATAAATTATTGTTTAAAGTTTCAACAAGTTTCTTTTGGAGTGCGTGACCCAAGTGTGTTTTGAAAACGACCGCGGACTGTCACCTGCTCAATGCATTATTACCTTTGGATGCCATGACAGTAATAGATTATAGATTAATAGCTGTGCAAAACTCTGCAATACAATTAGGTCCGAAAAAACCCGGAGTCCGCCGGGGTATTGTCTCTGCCCTATCATATATGCACTGAAACAAAGATTAAATGCAAAATATACAGTACATACATTATTAGACATTAGAAATATATATGTAATGAATAAATATTCAGTCTGGCTGGCCAGTATATATAATAAAAAACAGTGGTGCTACTGATTGTACCTGTGACCAGGCGCTGTACTGCCAGCTCTTGAGCAGACAGTCCCCATGGCAGGGCTCTCTGGTCTGAGGTTTAGCGGAGTCTCCACAGGCGCTGGCCTCCATCCTCTCACTCTGTCTCTTCATCAGGCTGTACTTCATACACTGAACATCCAGGCTGCGGTAGCCTGGGCCGCATTTAGCAGAACATTCACTCTTTCCAGCGACATGCCACCTGTGTGAGAGGAGCGGGAAATTTTTTTAAAAAAGTTAAGCTGTGTACACTGTGCAGGAATTTGTTTTTGGGGTGTATGTGTGCATCTTTGTGCAATAATCCCCACCTGACTTCACAGTCAGTGTTGCAGGGCTCAGCAACAGCAAAAGGACGAGGTAAATGTTCACAGCGCTGGTCCGATACCTCGAGGTGATCGCTCTTACGCACACACACGGCCTTTCGTCTCCGCTCACCTGCATACACACATGTACGCAGACACATGGGGGGAAAAGCAGGGTTCACATCAGATAACATCTGGCAGACAGTTCGCTTGCCAAAATATCACATTTCTTCACCTTTAACAAGTCTGACCAGCTTTCTGACATCCAGTCCTTCATCATACAGCCTCAGGGGTCCATGTTGGTCTCAGACCCTACAATTACATCTCTTTACTGGATCCCACTGTGCCCTCTGACCCACTGGGAGCCTGACTAACTTGCTTCTAAAGGGGAAATTTGAGGGGATTATTTGGGTTAAGGGGCAGACGAAGGGGAAGGTGTTGGGCGATGTGATTGGCCGGGGTCACATTGGGGTTGCCAGGAGGGGGATTTATGGAAAGAAGGGATGAGTGAGTATGTTTTTAAATTCAGAGGTGAGTGTAAGTGATGCAAGAGAAATGCTAATCCTAATGTGCCCTGACACTCAGATCCACGTCCATGTAATACGATTTCATGCAGTAAGAGCTGTAAGACACATTATGATTCATAATAATCTCACACTTTTTAACACATTTCTGCTGGTAGCTTTTTAGAGTTCACATCAAAAGTAGCTGTGAAATTTGCGTGTCAGACCGCAAGGCTCTAACAAGACTGAAATATTGCAGTTTGTGAAATAACTTTAGGCCTAAAAGTATAATTGAAAAGATTTTCAAGATTCACTGAAGCAAAAAGAAAAATGATCGGATTCTTCATGTGTGGAGATTTGGAAGCCGAGCTGAGGTCTTACCCTGACAGATGCGGTTGCACTCGAGCCAGGAACCTGAGGGATCCCACACAAACTGCTCCCTGTGTTCCTCGATGGGTATGTTGAAGGAGTAACGGACATCTGGGTTGTAGAGGTTTCCCACACACAAGACCTGGGGAAACAATGGTGGGAAAAGCAAGGTCAAAAGATTTCATAGTGCTTTTCTTACTTCGTCCACACAGAGATATCACCCTTTTAGATCGAGCTCAGTATGTCGGTAGATAAGAAGACAGCAAACTTCTGAAGAGATCAAGACTAAAGGATGCAAAACAGAAGACTACAGAACAGTAAAAACATAACCTCCTTGGCGGAGGTAATTAAGATCAAAGAGGAGAAAGTCTCCTCCTGATACCTGCAGAATGAGCTCCTCCTCGATGCGGTCAGTGCAGTTGATGCGCTCCACTTTTGTGTCCGAGCCGCTGTAGTCGATGATGGTTCCCTTGAAGGTGATTTCCCTTTTAAACATGGCCACTACAAAGTTCCCATTTAAGAGGGAGTTGGACTGGCTGTCGGATAATGCTGGAACAACAAACAGACACAAACCGTAAACAACACTGAAGTCCAAACGTGAAAGAATTGCTTAAGTGAAATGTTTGGTTTTATTAAATGAGTTTGGCTCTTGCAGACTTGAGGTTTTAGGGAATGTTTACGAGCTGTGGCATTCATCATTTCAGGCAATATGTTAAGTAAACAGTCTTTCAGTTGCCAACCTATTGTTCTGCAAAGCCATTGTTGCAGGGATGGTATGTTGAAACACTGGTGGCACTAAATTACAGTTATTCGGAGAGAGACGAGAGAGAGTTAGGCTGCGTGACTCTTCCTAATGACTGACATTGCAATGCAAACAAAGGATCTCCGCTGACTGCAAATATAAACAAGTACACAAACATACACGCACAAATTACACACAGGAACACATGGATAGACACTAGCATTTGGCAAACTAGCACATGAACCCAAAATGAACGCTGACCACCTCTCTCTCTACCCCGAACACTATGATTCCAGAAAACATGCAGTTAATTACAATCTCAGAGTGCATGTCGCAACAATGTATGTGATTAAGTCTCTAGACGCAACTTTGTTTACAGTGAGGTCTGTACGTTGTTGGAAGCCAGCAAGTCATCTTTAGCCCAGAGATGACTATGGGGTCTGTGGGGTTTTGACAACGATCTACAGACTCTGGTTGTCATCATTGACAGTTTACAAAACTGGAAAAAAACAATACTTTGGAAAATGTGCAGATACACAGCCACACACCCAGAGTGCACCTAAACACATATGAAATCTTGTAGTTGTTATGTGCCTGATGCTGGCTAGGAAGACGCTTCTTTTTAGGCATATTTTCCAGAGAAATGTACACCTTAAAGGAATGCTATACAATATTCAGAGCATATGCTAAACACCGGCTGAGCAGCTAACGGTGCTAACAGTATGAGCAGTGCTAACAATGGCAACAGTGTCGACAGAGCTGATGGTGTTAACAGGAGGAGGGGGCTGTGCCGATATCAGCGGTACCTGTCATATAAGCAGAGTGCAAAGTGGCGGTGATGATCTAGCCAGTGGGATACACATACAAGACTTACACGCACCTGCGGCCAGACAGTCTTCCACAACAAAGAACCGAGAAGCTTAGATTACAACGCATGCACGGGTAGCATGACTTCTCTGCTCAGGACACCATTACTTTGCAAACAAATGTTTGCTATATTAATGCTCTGAATATCATACAGAGCTCCTTTAATGCTTGAACAGTGGAAAAAATGGCTTAAAATGACATGATGACACATTACAGGATTAAGTTTGTTCTCCAGTGCACAAGCTCTACTAAATACCTGCACGTCTTGATACAGATGGGTCAAAAATAAAAGGAGAAACCAACATAAAGTGTCTTTAAAAAGGTGTTGAGCCACCATCTGCTTCCAGAGCAGCTTCTCTCTAAGCTTGGCAGCATTGATTCTCCACGTCTCTGACTCAGCTGGCGTGATGAGCGCTTTTTCTGTAAGATCTTCTCTCATTTGGTGCAGTGATAATGACGCTGAAGAGCACTGCCTATTACATCACTTCAAAACCTTTCATAGGCGTTACTTCAGTTGAGATCAGTGACTGCAGAGGCCATAGCAAATGCTCCACATCATGTTAAAACTTTCCCTGATAAAGGTCTAGTTAGGAAGAACTTGGCTCTGTTCGGATACTTGCGTAGTATGACAGATGTTTTGCACCACAGCACTGTTAGTAGGTACAATTTATCCAGAGCAGCTTTCTATAGCAGACTTTACAAAGGGCTTCATGATAAAATACATAAGAAAGACATTAAATAAAGACACAATACAGGAGTAACAAATAATATAAAGATTGAAAGTAAATAAATAAAACTTTGCAAACGAGCATCTGCACAGATCTGCTTTCTAAAGGTGTCCAAAGTGTCTAAAGTGTCCAAGTCCGACAGCAGAGATTTGAGCCACAACATCAAAGGCACAGTCTCCTTTTTTTGTCATGACCGCAATGATCTTCTCAAAAAAAATTCTACATATAGTAGACACATAGTGCATCAGCCGGAGTTACAACATTGACAGGGCGTTGCAAATACCAACCAAGTTTAATACAGACACCACCACTCGCTCAGTGTGTGGTTGTGGCGCTCAGCAACAGCAGGAGTCGAGCCTTTCACAGCAGCATGGCAGCGAGACCCTGCCAGATGTGTTTTCTGACAATCTGACTTAAAACATCTTGAACCTGACTTGAACCATCTGAAAATGGGCGCCCGCCCTTACAACATAGGCAAAACTCCTTTTCTCTGTTTTTTTCCCCACCCTGTCTATCTCTCTCTCATGTGCAAGCACATACACACACACAGAACCCCCCCTCCCCCCCCACACACACACACATCTGAGCCCGGTGGGTCCATCTAACCCTATACCCCTATATCCACTTTCATGCGGCCTGGGCTCCACATGCCTCTAATTAGCACCTATTGCTGCCTCATTTATCTTTCTCAGGGGCTGACACTCCATTTGCTTTCCCAACCAACCCCTCTTTGCCATGACCAGATGGACCAACGCCCCTCCACGTTTCCTCCACATACACTCAGTACAAATGACATTTCCTTTCCTTTATAAAAACAGTTTGACAACAGTTTGGCCCACGTCTCCTCACCCTCCTTCACTAAAAGCCTGCCTCTACAGCTCTGGGTCACCAACTCTGGGTGGTTTATGGTCATGTTAGGGGATAATGGCATTGACCTATGAGATGAGGACTGAAGGGCTGTAATGTATACATCTTATTAGGTTGGACTGCTTCCATTTTGGATTGATTGTCCCAAGAAAACCTGTAATTTAATACAGTGTTGCTGTAAAACACACAGCACACTCACCGAGGTAGTTGTCGTCCTCTGGCTTTCCAGAGTAGCTGACCTGTTTGATATCAATGTTGGTGGCTCCGGCTGGGATCCGCACCACTGTGTTGTAACCTGAAGGGGAAAACATGGAGAAACAGACAGACAAAACATGAGAGTGAGACAGAGAGCACAGAAAGTTACACAGTTTTTTAGGGAGTCCCAAAAGGGAACAAAGTAGCCACAATAACAGCACTGAGCAGTCCCACCTTGATTTTCATAATAGCTTCACTATGCTACACCAAATCCCAGTCAGGGAAGTCCGGTTCTAACCACGGGGGATTTAAATGTCACACTTGGAAAAATACAAAAAAAAAAGGTCCCAGTCCTCTCAAATAACCTGCAGGAGGCCTTGTTTTAGTCTCAGAGGCCCGACCGTGAAATGATATGTAATTATTCCCTGGACCTACCTTTGGCCTGTAATTACTACACCGGGCCTGTTGTCCAATGATAAACTAACATACAAAACGAGTGAGCATGAAGGAAAGAGAGCATGTAAAAGCCAAAGGGGCGACAACAAAAATGCAGCAATGGAGACTGAACAGAGGACAGGAAACGAAATAAGTGAAAAATCAAGTAGAGGAAAAATTATCTGTATCATCTTGTGAGAATTGCTGGGCATGAGTGCTCAATACATTTTTGGGACCGACCGAAAATGAATATATAGCGACAACTATTGAAAACTTTTAGCTGACACCGAATGCTTGCTTAGATTTGTACTCTTCTTAACTAATTTTTTGATCATCTAGTTTAGGAACTAAATCATTTAGCCGATTCTAGACTGAACTTTAGCTTTGTACAGTTTATTGCGAGTAAGGTATTTTAAAAAAGCCCAAACAAACCCACACAGCATAAGCATCAAAAGATTTCTAATGATACAAGTTATACTCATTAAAAGAAGTTGCTACAGATTCTGTACATAAAGTTAAACATATACTATGCAGAAATTGTCATCTACTATATGTGAATCGGAGGCACGGTGGTGCAGTAGTTAGCATTGTCGCCTCACAGCAAGAGGGTTCCTCGTTTGAACCACGGGGTGGGGGAGCCCTTCTGTGAAGAATTTGCATGTTCTCCCTGTGTCAGCGTGGGTTTTCTCCGGATACTCCGACTTCCTCCCACAGTCCAAAGACATGCAGGTTAACTGGTGACTCTAAATTATCTGTAGGTGTGACTGTGAGTGTGAATGGTTGTCTGTCTCCATGTGTCAGCCCTGTGATAGTCTGGCGACCTGTCCAGGGTGTACCCTGTCTCTCGTCCAATGTCAGCTGGGATAGGCTCCAACCTCCCTGCAACTTCTAACAGGATAACCGGTTATGGAAAGTGAATGAATGAATATTTGTGAATAGTATCGTCAGTGGTCAGTACCTTTTCATAAAGTGACGACCTAACCTGCACGCTGTGCCCAGGAATGTCCCAAACACACCAAAATAATAAAAGGTCATGAGGAAATACAGGCAGAAGGCAGTGTCTCAGCAGATAAACACACCGCCACACATTTGTAGTTGGTCATAAGTGATGATTGAGAGGGATTACTTCTGCATGAGTAAACATTCTTCAGGAAAATCCTGCATAGCATACCTTTAATTCAAGATATTTCAGATTTCTTAATCGTCACTGTGCAAACAAACAACAAAATTCAGGTGTGCTCGAGGGCCGGGCTCGAATATTAAAATACCTACAAAATAGTAATAAAATCATACACAAATGTAGATACACCTTTACCAACTCCTTTACCACTCTTTACCAACGTATGCAGATAAAATGGGTAATAAAAAGTGCTCATGCATATTATTGCACATAAAATAAGTTATTGCACTCAAGAAAAAGAACTGTAATCTGTTTAGGTGGGTTCACTTCGGTCCAGAGTTCAGTATGATGATGGCTTAGAGGTAGAGACTGTTCATGAATCTTGTAGTGTGTGTTTTGATGAACCTGAGGCTTTTTTTTTGAGGGCGACAGGGCAACAAACGCAACAAATGTAATCTCTCACGGATTAAAAAAAAGCAGAGCTGATGAGAAACAACTCATAGACACTGCTGTTTTTAAATTCAAATCCTTCAGTTGAGTAAAAATATATCCTTTAATAGCAACATTTTGAGGATTACAAGGGAAGAAAGTTTTAGCCATAATGTACTCATGATGAGCCGCTGTTTGGTGCCACAACAATTCTGTACTTCTGGCCTCTTGGTAAGTCCAGTTGAATCACTGGAGGTTTAAAGAGATTACCACAGGTGTACTATTAGTGTATAATGTCTGTTAGATACAGCTGTAGACTGTCAATATTCACTTTCTGAGAGTTAAGCTTGAGAATTTGAATTGATATTTATCTGCTCAGACACCATGTGGCCTTCCAACTACTTCCTGCTGTCACCAAAATAAAATAAAACCTGAATGGAATGAGAGAAAAGGTGTGAATTGATGTGATCCGATGGTTAACCTGACACCTTGAGCCACTCGGGGGCAGCACTTGGTTTATATATCTTTCTCTCATCAGTAATGTAGATCCACACACACACACACACACACACACACACACACACACTGTAACATCATCACATGTCAAATCAAACATGACTGAAAAACTTCTCCATTGGAGGCCACACTGTACAGGAAGCTACTGCTACAAATTTCTTCACAATAAAACCTTTCCACCACAACCCAGAAACCTACTTACAATTGACTGCGACTGTGTCTCATGTCAAATTCCCCTCCTAAACACTGGGGACAGGATAAGCTAAAAAAAAAACACAGAGGCGTACGAACTTCAGAAACCACCAGCATGCACCCCCTCTGAGGAAACACGCTATCCACAAGCCATCAGAGGCCTCCAAGATCCCCCAGCTTAGCAACTGACCACACACACAATCCTCCGCCACCACAGAGTGACCCAGTGATGAACAGTAAACACACCACCGCGGGGAGAGAGAAACACAACCGCGCTGAACTTAAGGACCACTGGGCTTTACCTCAAACATGCCTCCCTCTGCCACTAGCAAGAGAGAAGATGATGTATTAATAGCCTGTGGAGGAAAATTAGAAGGCGTCACGAGCTCACCCTGGTGCAAGTTGTCAGACGATACTAAGTTGATGACAAACACCTGCGTGTTTTGTAGTTACTGTGAATGGATTATTTTTCCAACCTGAAACAGGAGGCATTTAACCTCCAAGTTTGTTTTTCTTGTCTCCATTTTATGCTTTCAAGTCAGGAAGATTTAGAAAATGTAAGTCTGCATCAAGTCCTCTTGTAAATCTCAGATACAGCTTTAAGTCTTAACTGACTTGAAACTTGATAATCTGAAGACATGAAACAACCAAGTGTCAAAACACAGGAGAGCAACAGGCAGATCTCATACAGCTGCATAGTTTAATTATAAGGCATGTGCAATGAAAGGACCTAGGTTTATAAAAACACCATCAACACTTATAAACACCCTTAAAGGGGCAGTGTGTAGGATTTAGTGGCATCTAGCAGTGAGGACTGCAGACTGCAACCAGCTAAAACTTCTTCTAAGTGCCAAGCATGAACTCCTGGTTAGGATTCCTTCAGCGTTCATTGTTGTGGAGGTTTTTACCTGGGGCTGAATTATCCACAGAGGTCTCTTTTTCTCTCAGACAAATGGACCAGGTGATTTAAACCGGTAAAAACACTGAATAAAACAGTTTCAGGGTACAAATAGTTGTTTCGCCTATGCTGTTTGGCTTGTTGTGATCAGTTCACAAGCCCAGCGTCTGCTCAGGTGTGCTCACCTTCTGTGTGGGGCAGTAGCGTCACTAAAAGTAGTGACGTTACTAAGTTAACTCCATTTCTCAGTAGCATGTTGGTAACGTCACTCCTTTCTGAGTCAAATAGCCAGAAGCAAAGTTGATTAATTGACCGAGTAGCATGGGAGCGAACTGAATATATCTAGTGGATTTGCAGTGGACACTACAGAAAAAGACACAACGAGGGCCAAGAAAAGAGACAGAGAACAGTATAAAGTAGGGAGAGAGTGTTCATTCTGTAACGCCCCCGAAAAAGAAAAATTTTATTCTAGGTCTGTTATTTTATTGTTTATATTACTGTCTTTTATTCATCATGGTTTTATTGACTGAAAAACATATTTTGGAATTCTGTTTTTGAATTACTGACATAGCCAGATAGCCTACTGAAAGAGAACAAGACAGAGAACGCATTAAGGGGGAATAGGAGAGAGAAATATGCTGATGATGTCATGTTATCTGAGGACAGGTCCAAATGTCACAAAGTCTTTTTGTGATAAATAAAATAAAAAGAAATGTAGCATTGCATGTAGCAAGGTACTTTTGCCATTTTGCTGGAGAAACATAGCAAGCTTAGCTATGTATGTAGTGTAGCTAGTAGCACTGTAACACAGTAACACTGCTCACATTTTTTCTCAGATAACTTAAGATCCAGACATTCAGGAGGTTTTTATCAGGAGCCAAATCATCAGCAGAAGTCTCTTCCTCTCCAAAACAAACAGATCCAGTGATTTAGAGCCAGTATCTAGAGCCAGTGTTCGGTTTGGCTATTCTGGGCTACGAAAGAAACATGGCGGTGATACATGGTGATCCCCACAGATGAAGGAACACTCCCTATGTTGCTATAATCATTCTGTCACAGCACAACAAATCTTATTTTCAGGTGATTATACGCTAAAGAAAAGACTTATGAAATTTAATTTCTGCCAGTATATTCCCCCTAAATCCTACAGAAACGACCTTTAAAGGAAAATGTTCCAATGCTGTGTCACTTCAATGGTCAGTAACTTGGCAGTTACTTAGAAGACTTGAGTTGCGACTTGGATTTTACCCCACAAGATAAAAAAAGAAACTTTGGTTTAACTTGTAATTTCAGGTCATCTAGTTTGGTGAAGAAGGGAAAGAACGATAAAGACAAAGATTGATGAAAAGAAAGCAAAGTGAAGAGACAAAGGTAGAGACTGAGAAATAGAGAGACATCAAACAGAAAAGGACAAAAGGGTGAAAGACAGAAAGACAGGCTTAAGACCCAGGAGCAGAGGGATATCCTGCCTGGGCTGCACTCCCATTTGTGTTTCTTAAGGTCTAGCCAGATTTCCAGGGCTGAGCTTAGTGCCTGGTTTGGTTCAATACAGTCCTCAAACCCTGTACCCCCAACAGCCAACAGAGTGCCGAAAGAAAGCAGATGGATAGAGACGCTAAAGCTCAGCGCCAAACTAATGCGGAGTAAACATGACGGAGGCCACACCCAGGGCTTTTATTCTAATGCTTCTGCTGTTTTGCTGCCCAGACCTAAAAAGGATTGGATGCAATCAGCAGTTGGCCCGCACTGAAGCACCGCATTAAGCAGGACAGTTCAAAGGGGTGATGTCAGGTTTGTGTTTGCTATCGAAAGACCTGACAGAGTGAGATCGCTGTTTTAATCAGTATCTGAAGCTTTGGAGAAGATTGGTGCTCTGCGTTTTTCCAAATTCGGCTGAGGCACGTATCGTTGCTGAAAATCAAGCTTAATATATTTAAACATATCCAGACATGACATCAGCACCTAATACACGCATGCAGCATGTCAGCCTTGCAGCCACGTGGCACTGAAGTCTTTCTTAGCTCTGCTATGTTTACTGCGTGTCAGATATATCATAGATCCTCCGCAGAGGCTGCTGACACACAGTATGTTTAATAGCAACACCTTTTTTTGTAAAGAGTCAGCTATTAGTGTACTGTGCATGTAATATGAGCAGCGGGACTTACCGTACTGAGCGTCGTTGAAGGTCCCTGCCAGGGTTTTGCACGATGAGTTGTCGCCGCCGCACACTCCGCATTTGTCATTCCTGGCCTTTGAGTTGAGAACGTGGTCACAGCCTGCTTGCTGAGGAGGGACAGATGTAGAGAAGATAGACATGTGTGGCTTATAATGATGTAATATGACATCCTGTACTTAAAGGAATACTTCACCCCCTCATTTGTTCGTCAGTTACTCCCCTCCTGTTACGTTGAATTCATGAACAAAATGTAGTTTTTCTTGCATGCCTCTGCAGTGGACAGAGGATTTAAAAATTGACAAAATTCTCAATGAACTGATGTCATGATATCAAAACATCGGTATACAAACTCTCACACTCCTTGTGCAGTATAATCCAAGTCTCATTTATCTGGTACTTTCCAAACACATGCACTTGCCAAATTCTTACTACTTCAAACACCTCCATATAAAGTTGGAAGGAAGTGTTCAGTGAATATGCATGTGTTTGGGAAGTACTACACATACGACTGGATAAATGAGACTTGGATTATACTGTACTAGTTACAGTGTTTCCCACGTAATTAGAATCTATGCATGCCATTTTTTATTTTCTTTCCTGTGTGTTGTTGTGTATCAGTCTGTGCACACGTTTTACTTATATTTAGGAAGATATTGTGCAGCCCTAGGTCTTTGTATCAAGATTCTACATGGTGTTATGAACTTCCCTGAGTGTTTTATGTACATTTTCAATAGCCTAGTGTCACACTCAGTTTTCCTGTGTCATGGGTCTTATTAAAGTGTATTATAGAGCTCATGAGTGTCAAGGATGTTTCACTCATTTGGCTGTTTCTCTGTGAGGAAACACATGACAGAGGAGTTTTTACCAGAGGTTTTGCGGGTCCATGAACAGAGTGCAAGTGGAACTTTTTTTCCTAAGCAGCAGTTTGTGGAGTTTTGAGTTACAGGCTGGATAACTGATCAGTCGATCCAATCAGAGCTGACCAGATCAGATCGATTAGAGGAGCAGCTCTTGCAAAGGCGAGTGAAACCAAACTTTTGGACCCAGTGCAATGAATGGATAAGTTTTACTTTTACGGTGCCTGACATTCTGCTGTTCTACCTGCGCTTGGAGTACACTGCACTTTGAGGATTTGGAGCGATGAATGGTTTATTAATTCCGAGTATGCAACTAATGAATGGTCCAACTCCAAATATAGAAAACCAAAACACGGCGGCAGATGTTTTAATCACGGCAGGTCACGACAAATAAAGAAATGTCTGGGAAACCCTGACTTGTGTTTTGATCTTCGTGTGTTGAGAAACACGGACCCTCATGACTTGAATTCATCAAGAATTTCCTTTTTGGTCTCTTGGTTAACCGGGGAGCTTGCGAAAGAAATTCAAAGTACTCCTTTAAAATTATAAGTTGAAGCTGTTTTGAACTGCACATTTGCAAGCACTGTTTCACCTGGACACCATGTACTTGACAAATGCAGGTGTTTCTGATTATGACCTCCAAACACTTCACTGAAAACTCAAGCTGTATCCTTTCCAGTAATTACAAAACGTGAATCATGTTAAAGTATGAGCAGGCAGACAGCGTTCCTGCAGCCACAGCCAAAATGTAACACTGACACACATATATGAACCTACATATCATGATAGCATGAGAATAAGTTAAGGCTAGGATGACGCTGATGCTGGAGCTTGTGTGTGTGTGTGTGTGTGTGTGTATGCACAAGTTCATTATAACAGACATACCCTGCAGAGGCCTTGAACACAGATGTCGTAAGTATCTGGCCCACATGGCGTGCCGTCGATGACGCGGTCCTTCAGCTGATAGTACGCCATAGTCCCAGCAACCCGGCAGAAGAGCTTACAGCGATCCTTCATTAGTACTGCATGGAGAAAGAAAACAAACTATGGAAAAAGTTGGACTACAGCTCATTAAGTTAATGAGATTAATAAAATAGAGATCTTGAACAATAACAAGATAAAAAGCCTCGAGATGACTTGCACGTGCTGATGAAATAAAACTAAACATAACACTTTTTTGATCTTGTACCTATTTAAATTGTTTTGCAAAGTTCAGAGTCACTCTCTGGCTTGAATTGCCAAATTTTTATCCATTGTTTGGAAGAATCACTTTGTATCTGACAGTGCACTGGCTCGGGGGGCTTGGCCTGTTTGCTTGTACAGCATCAATTAAATGAATGAATCACTTGCAGTAACTTAAACATGGTGGTCTTTGCCAGATGGTAATCTCATGTAGCCAGGCAGGCCATCTCAGGAAGGAATGAGATACATCTGCAGGAGGGAAAGCTGCCAGGAGGTTCGTATGGAAGGGCCGTGTGTCACTTTAATGTTGCTGTTGTTTAATGTCAACTTAAAGGGATACTTTGCAGATTTTCCACCAGCTTTGTATCATTACAATGTGGGTAGTTTGTGTAAATGAACTGTGGTAAATGTCCAGCGCCCAGATCTCCCTGCTCATCTCTCAGCTAAAATCTGCCAGATGACACATTTTATGTCATCCAGTGGGTTTTTTTACTGGCTCTAGGGCTGTTGCTTTGACTATAGATTGTACTTCTGCATTTTTGAATGCCCACCACCACAGACATAAAGAGTATAGAAGCGGATTGAGATAGAGAGTCGCCCTTCTCTCTTGCTTTCTCCTTAAACTCTGACCTTACAGTAAACCTAGGCAGTGCTGATCAAATACAAACCAAGATTCTGTAACTGCATTGCCTATTGCCTTAAATGTCTTCAGAAAAATATTTTAGTACTGTAATTTGAGAATCTGTGAATAGGAAGTGAGCACTATACTGTTTCCTGTATTGTAAAAAGACTGTAAACACAGAGATCACATGGTAAAACTATGCAGTGCTGATCAAATATGAAGACTGACTGCATTGCCTATTTCTCGCCTAAAATGTTTTCAGAGACATATTTTAGCGCACTGTTTAACTGCAATTCACAATCATTTGTTACCAGCCAGCCACCATAATGTTTCCTGTGTGAGAACGGCCAAGTTCACATTACATCACTCACCAGAGAAAACTTTTTTTAGTCTGGTGTGGTGCAACACTTTGTGGTTGATGTAGGTTTTCTACCGCTTCAGCAAAAGCAAATGTCACATCCTCTTTTCTCTGTTTTCTCTGGTCACATATTGCAAATTTCAAAAGTATTTTATCTTTGCATAGGCCGCAGTTTTAAGACCATTTTTACAGGGGTGGAATATTTCTTTAAGGTTAACCCCATGGGTGTGCAAAGTAAGACATAAAAAGGGCACATACACAGATGCGTACTCTACCTTACATATGCACCCACTCTATCTTTTCTCCTAATGTACAGTACAGGCCAAAAGTTTGGACACACCTTCTCATTCAATGCGTTTTCTTTATTTTCATGACTATTTACATTGTAGATTCTCACTGAAGGCATCAAAACTATGAATGAACACATGTGGAGTTATGTACTTAACAAAAAAAGGTGAAATAACTGAAAACACGTTTTATATTCTAGTTTCTTCAAAATAGCCACCCTTTGCTCTGATTACTGCTTTGCACACTCTTGGCATTCTCTCGATGAGCTTCAAGAGGTAGTCACCTGAAATGGTTTTCCAACAGTCTTGAAGGAGTTCCCAGAGGTGTTTAGCACTTGTTGGCCCCTTTGCCTTCACTCTGCGGTCCAGCTCACCCCAAACCATCTCGATTGGGTTCAGGTCCGGTGACTGTGGAGGCCAGGTCATCTGCCGCAGCACTCCATCACTCTCCTTCTTGGTCAAATAGCCCTTACACAGCCTGGAAGTGTGTTTGGGGTCATTGTCCTGTTGAAAAATAAATGATCGTCCAACTAAACGCAAACCGGATGGGATGGCATGTCGCTGCAGGATGCTGTGGTAGCCATGCTGGTTCAGTGTACCTTCAATTTTGAATAAATCCCCAACAGTGTCACCAGCAAAACACCCCCACACCATCACACCTCCTCCTCCATGCTTCACAGTGGGAACCAGGCATGTGGAATCCATCCGTTCACCTTTTCTGCGTCTCACAAAGACACGGCGGTTGGAACCAAAGATCTCAAATTTGGACTCATCAGACCAAAGCACAGATTTCCACTGGTCTAATGTCCATTCCTTGTGTTTCTTGGCCCAAACAAATCTCTTCTGCTTGTTGCCTCTCCTTAGCAGTGGTTTCCTAGCAGCTATTTGACCATGAAGGCCTGATTCGCGCAGTCTCCTCTTAACAGTTGTTCTAGAGATGGGTCTGCTGCTAGAACTCTGTGTGGCATTCATCTGGTCTCTGATCTGAGCTGCTGTTAACTTGCGATTTCTGAGGCTGGTGACTCGGATGAACTTATCCTCAGAAGCAGAGGTGACTCTTGGTCTTCCTTTCCTGGGTCGGTCCTCATGTGTGCCAGTTTCGTTGTAGCGCTTGATGGTTTTTGCGACTCCACTTGGGGACACATTTAAAGTTTTTGCAATTTGACTGACCTTCATTTCTTAAAGTAATGATGGCCACTCGTTTTCTTTAGTTAGCTGATTGGTTCTTGCCATAATATGAATTTTAACAGTTGTCCAATAGGGCTGTCGGCTGTGTATTAACCTGACTTCTGCACAACACAACTGATGGTCCCAACCCCATTGATAAAGCAAGAAATTCCACTAATTAACCCTGATAAGGCACACCTGTGAAGTGGAAACCATTTCAGGTGACTACCTCTTGAAGCTCATCGAGAGAATGCCAAGAGTGTGCAAAGCAGTAATCAGAGCAAAGGGAGGCTATTTTAAAGAAACTAGAATATAAAACATGTTTTCAGTTATTTCACCTTTTTTTGTTAAGTACATAACTCCACATGTGTTCATTCATAGTTTTGATGTCTTCAGTGAGAATCTACAACGTAAATAGTCATGAAAATAAAGAAAACGCATTGAATGAGAAGGTGTGTCCAAACTTTTGGCCTGTACTGTATTCAAAATGCATTACATTCAAGTGCAGTAGACAGGCATTACGATTTTTCATGTTTGGGCCTCCCTCCTACACACAATGTGGTGGGCCACATTCAAGATAAATGCATCAAACACACAGTATCACTGGCTTCAAACTACATTGTATAGTCGGGTGTAAATAGTTTCCATCTTTGATGTCGCAGCTCAAGTTACCGCAAGACATTCAAATTACATGCTTTAGGATGACACTGGTGTACTCACTGCCACTGTACTTGGGGACCCAGCGGACGGTGGGAGGTAGACCGTTGATGTTGAAGTGCTTGCCATCGAACTGAGAGCACTGCTCTTCGCGGAAATCTTTCCGTCCTCGCGGACATGGCTCAGTGTTGCAAGAGCGGAACTTCATCCTGCGACCCACACAGAACTTCCCGCCATTTCTGGGCCTGGAGTGAGACAAGACAGATCACAGGAGCACTACACTTCTACACTTCTTTCAGTCTAAAGATCATGTTTGCTCTTGTTTGACTGGTGCTTTATGACTTCAAGCCCACACTGTTTACTTTTAAATTCACACTACAGAAACAAGCTGTTGCTTTAAATCAGTTTGAGGCTAACTGAATCTGACATGCAGATTTATTTCTCACTTTAGCTTGTTTACACCTCTCGTTCAGGCGTGACTGCTTGCGTTTTTACTGCTTCTCTTACTGGTTTAGTCTTACACATATTTACGGTCTGTAATGGCTCTGATTGTCAAAACTGTCTTCCTTACTCAGGCTTGTTGCAGTCTCTGGAGGTGCTCCGGGTTCCTCCACCACAGGACCTGGAGCAAACACTGTAGGGTCCCCAAGGACCCCACTCCCCGTGGACTGGCTGCAGGTCCAACTCCTTGTTTACACACATCCCGTGTCTGCAGTACTGCATGTGAATAGACACAAAAAAACATGACTGCAACTCCTGCAGACGTGAAGACAAACACAGACTGCAGAATTAGTGCAGGCACAGCTGGGAGTGGCGTTCCTCTTTGCCTTCTTAATCCTCCGTTTAGATCTAAAGCTATATCTTAAAAGAAATCCTAATTCAGCTATTGTTTACCCTTAAGGAAGGCCTCCAACTCCTCCAGCTGTCCAAAGAGAAATGGGAGAGGGAGGGAGCGGCATGGATACAGACAAAAATAGAGATAGTGGCAGACAGTAAAAGAGAGGAAGTGTCAATGAGAGAAACCAGAAACTGAAATGTGCAGTATGTGCCACAATAGTTTTTTTTAGTGATAGCCAAACCTCTAATGCATTTGTGGGTGTTCTTTTTGAGCGGAGCTAATTGCTCAGCTCCTACTCTGTTCTTGTCACGTATCCCTACCTTCAGTCAGAAGTGCCAAAAACTGCAGTTCCATGAATGGCCACTTGAAGTTGGATGCAGAGGCATTTAATCCCCATAGACACCCATGTTAAAATGCCCATCTTTACAGCACCAATAAACATGTTTACAGCCTGGTACAAAAACAGGTTTTGGTCTCTATAGCTAATTTCACCCTTTATGACAACTGCACAGGAGGTGAATTTTTAAATAACTGTATACATTGCATCAAGGCTTAAAGTTATGCATATTCAAATGTGGGGCCACTTGAGTTACAGGCTGTCTGCGAGGCATCGCTACAGTGTATGAGTCAGATACACCCCTCGTTCTTCCACAGCTCAACCCTCTCATCCAAATATGGTCACGTCCGGCAAAACCTAAGATGGCGACGGCTGAAATGCTTAAGTCAAGGCTTTAAAACGGAGTCCAAAAACCAATAGGTGACGTCATGGTAGCTATGTCCATCATTGTATACTGTCTATGTATAGAAGTCTCTGGTGAGTTGCAGAGATTAAAAGTAAGAAACGGCAGTGTGAGTCTCACAAGCTGTCGAATTTTATGTAAAACATAGCTGCTCCACAGCCTCTGTCTTTGCACAAAGTCACACTGCTTTTCACATGAGTCCCCTGTTTCCGATAAAGACTATAAGCCTGATGCAACACATTGATATAAATGGTCTTGGACATTCAACACAAAAGTTTATAAGAAACATATCAAAATGAAAACTATTTGCTCTGCCAGAGACAATTGAGGATATCCAGACTAATTCTTTGTAAATCATCTTCAGCTTGCCTTGTCAACACAAAATTACATAATATCTTTCATACAGCAGACCCACTCTGACAAAGGAAATAAGGCGCCTGGTATCAAACAGTGTGTACCCATGAACCAACCTTTGCCAAGAAGTGCTAACACTGCTTTCATAAGCAAAGCACGGCAGGCCCATTTCCCTTTGTGTGTAACCAAATCCCCTTCTCAGTGACTAAGATATCGGAGGGTCCTGTTCACTGAAAGAATGCAGGACAAGACGGCGTCTGTCTGGGTACGTAGCCCGCCGTCCGGGCACACAGGCACGGGGAGCAGTGGCACCGTGATAAGGAAACTCTAGAGTTGTGATAACAAGAGGAACAAAGTTCATTACTGGCTTGACATCAGGAACTACCTTCTGCTGTTCAGCTGTCTATCTCCTCAGATGCACAGTTTTAAACCTACAGAAGGATGCTCTTTGCAGACACCTCAGTGTGTTCATTTTCTTACAGAGTTTGGTCCCTAAGGTGCATGCACAAGTTGTTACTTCCATTGCAAGCTCTTTCCAGATGAGAAATGCAACTACTATCATTTTAACTGGCCACTCTCCCAATCCCCAACAAGACATTCAATCCCTGCTCCAGATCCAAAAAGACTCTTGAGACCTGAGAACAGACCTGTGTGATATCCGCTTCAGTGAATTTTTATAATCACGCTAATAAACCAGGGAGGATATCAATCAAGTCATCTCCTCAACAATGGTAACTCTGACCTGCTTTAACATTAATTCACAACTTGCAGCCATTACCTCTGGTGAACACCTGCAAGTGCAAAGTCATTTGCGCAAACACATGTAAACATACAGAGAATTTGGCACGGCTGCCTCTACTATCCTGGCCTAGTTTGCATGTGTGTTTTACACACTTGTGGGTCTAATGATGGAGTGTAAAGTCTGCGCACAATGACAGACAGGTGTTAACAGCTGCAGGGTAAGGACTAAACAAGCCACAAACATTTCCATAATGTGGACCTGGTTTGAGTTTCTTCCTGTCTGGCTCCACTGTAAATGCAAACCGAGGGCACTGATAATTTTGTTGGAGCGCAAACAATGGATTTAGAGAGCAATTCAAATAAAAGTCACTGAGAGGAATGTGATAAAAGATCCACATGAGTTGAAATGACTTCCACACCACGAAAAGGCAAACAGGCGCTGGTCCTTGTTGGTTGAGCAATTGTCTTAAGAAAAAAGAGCTAAACAATTGGAGTTCATAAAATTGTTGAAGAAACACATTTTAAGACATTTTTCCAGAGTTCTCCTTTGACACAACAAAGAGTTTCCCTTCCCTTATAGCTCTCACACCCCCTTCCCCCAACCTCAGCTTAAGGACTGTCAACCGGGACCTGGGCATCCCCTCTATACCTCCTCTACACAGCCACCCATCCCCCTTATCCCTGTATGGGAAATTGCAAGGGCCATGCAGGGACCACCGCAGTGCAACCAGGCGGCAGGGCCCGAGGAACTGTCAAACACAAGGCGAACTGTCTGTCAGAGAGGACCAAAGCCTGTGTAAGCCTCTGAGGCATTCCACTCCCCCCGCTGGCACCCTGTGTTTACAACCGTTTTGTTTGGCTTGAAAAGGTGATGTGGGTGAAAAGAAGAAAGAAGGAAAGGGGGGAGTGGAAGGAAAAAAACATCTGTGTGAGATGATGTATGTATGTATGTGTGTGTGTGTGTGTGTGTGTGTGTGTGTGTGTTTGTGTGCACATGTGCGACTGTGTGTTAAGTGTGAGAGTGATTGCTCAGAGTCTGGAGGCATCTGGGGGCCACGCTCAATTCCAATTAGCCTCTCTTTCCGAAGTGCACAAACACACCCTTGGAAAACGTTGAGGTGAAAGGCAAAGCTGGAACGAGCACCGAGGACACCGGCAGTCCCTCTCCTAGAAAGACTGTCAAAATTTGCTCTCAGTTGGGTATGTGGTGAGACATTTGAAGGTCTTGTGAGAGGAACCTGTCCAGCTGTGACTAGCATGTGTTTCAAATTAGGAATTCCACAAAGACACACGCTGACTCACCAACTCATACCAAGACATGTGCATATGTGCAAACACATATCACATGCATGCATTTAGCACATACTGTATCTAAATATGATGCACACAGGGAGGTGCACATCATACCTTTGCCTCTTTCAAATCACAAACCAACAAAACTAAATAACCAACTCAGCCAGTAGTCACCAGCATGCTAACCCTGACAGTGGGAATAGTATCTGAGGACAGCAGCATCTGCTCCGAGCTCCTCAGCTGGCTGCTTTGGAAGTTAGTGCCCTGTAATTGCCAGGAAACTGTTGCAGAGAGCACCTCATTTCTGAACCCAAGCCATACATCACTGCAGGAATGAGAAGGCAGAGGACTGATTTAAAAAGCCCTCCGCTCTTTCATTTTAACACGGCCATTTCCAAAAGGCTTCACCTTTCATGTTGCGGTGTCTTTCTCATGGCTCTCGGTTCGGAGTTCACTTTGACTTTGGCCTGTTGGGGGTTTGCGTCTATGTCTCTGACGAGTCCTCTCCACAATACACAATCAAAACAGAATGCAACAGGAAAAAACCTGAAACATCTGGAGTCACCTGTGGAGCAACATGGACCATGGCTGCGGCTGATATTCAATATGTCATAACTCACTGTTGCATGTTGTATAACTTGACCTGGAGGTGAGAGGCGATAGAGAGCCATGGCGCTATACGGTAGTACGCGATTATCTGCAAAGCTCTCTCTGGGCGGGCAGGGGACTGGAAATAAAATGACAGCTGTTATTATAGACTGGATTTACACAACTTATTTCTCAGCCAAGGCGTGCATGTCTTTCCCTGTTAGTTCCATATTTCCTCTTTCCGTTGTGTTGAAAGGGTGTTAAGACAGGAGGAAGAGAGATGACAAGAGGGAGGGGAAGGTAAGCAAGCGAGTGCAAGAGAAACAACATGATGCAACCGTGACCCCAACCAACCTCCTTACTTTGTTTCCTACCCTCTTTTTCCACTCTCTGTGATCCCTTCCTCCCCTACATCTTTCCAAGAAGTGTAAGGGTTGTCATTAGAGTGAATGAGTGGTTTGGCCCTGTCAGCTGTTCCATTCACGTGCACTTCAGAGACACTTTTACTGATGGTATTTCTAACTTAAGATCTCTTAACAACTGCTGGGACACACATACCTCTTGTAACCTTATAAAACTTGGCTTGATCAATATTTTTGGTGTCCTTTGTTGTGATGAATTCACGGAGAATTATTTTCCAGCTCTGCTGCTCTACAGAGATTTTTTGCCTCTTTTAGCTCATTATTTTGCTTGTTCATTTATGTTATATTTTTGGTGACATTGGGCAGCACAGTAAGCTGTAAGCTCCGGAGGTGGGCCAAGTCATTGTTCCGCAAGTCACAGACGTCAGCTCTATGCAGAGCCTACACCATAGCCTTCGCATGTGGCCTACGCCATTGTGAGCATTTATAATTGTGCAGTGGCGTGTCTGTGTTACTCTGCAGTTACACCTCCAAAACACCAGTCGGCATCGGGGTTTCGTGAAGTGCTGTAAAGTTTAGTTCAAAACACACATTAAACATGGCTTAACAACAAGTACACAAATTGGCTTCATTATAACTCGCCGCATTCACAGACAAAGCACTTGTCTTCTGCTGGACACATTTTCCCCACAAATACAACATGCTAATGTTTTTAGCACAAGCCTATGGCATCTTACATTGTAAAAATTAGCCTAGCAGCTAGCAGACTTTTCCTTTACTCATATGAAGCCAGGGAGAAGA